ATATATATATATATATATATATATATATATATATATATAATTTAGTAACACTTAATATTGTTATTCATTGTTAACTCTTATATTAAACACAGAGGTCGAATAAAAATTGATATCATTTTTATTATTATCGAACTTCAAGCAATATGCTTCCTATATGAAGCGCTATTTAAATAGTGATATATAACAATAAACCTAGTCTGTGTTTTAATTGACGATTAAAAGATACAACTAGGCCTATCTATTTATTTATCTTGTCAGCATGATACACCCGTCAACGCTTATGCCTAAGTAAACATATACGAACACAATGATTATAAACATGATTTTCATAGTTTGTTGAATGAATATTGACCAACCAAGTGTAAGTAGATATAGGCCTACCATTAATTGGTATTATACTGAAGTAATGAGGTTTTAAACTACAAGTCTTCCTACACTTTAAGAACATTTTTGGGACCGGAGTTCCCGTGGCCTTTAGCAGCTTTGGTCTCTAATTAGAATAATAAAGATAAAAACCATGTGGTAATTTGAGACCACAGAAAAGTGGTCCTTAACTGGAGGTGGTCTTTATTTGGAGGGGTCTTTACTAAGAGGGGAAACCTGTACAGTATATGTATATGATGATATCATAATAAACTTTCTTTTTTTATTTTAAGAACACATTTCATATAAGAGCACTGAGGCTGAAATTGCTTAAAAAAAAAGAACAAAATAAGAACAAATTGAGGCAGACGTAACATATCAAATGAGGTTTATATTTAAAACAAAAAGAAAAACCAAAAAATCAAGCTAATCACATACAGTGAAATATTAATGTTTAAAAAGGTTTCCAACACCAATACCTATCTGCACCTTTGTGCAGTTGGTTGGTGATATAATGTTGTACAATAATAAGTTTCTATCTTTGAAAAGCGTGTAACATAAGAACAAAATAAGAAAAATTCAGCCACTGAACCTTCTGCAAAATATCATTGCTCCTTATTTAAAAAAGTGTATAATACTTTATAAGTATTTAGACATTTAATTAACAAAACATATTCAACATTAATTTCACTCTACTGAAGTAACATGAATATTTACTTACAACATTGAATAAAGAATAGCTTTCATCACCAATAATATGCCTATACTGTTTATTCGTTGTCTTGATAATTACATAATAGGCAAATTTATTGTTTTCACTGGTAACTAATCAATGTGTTTTCGTTTATATTAAAAATATTTGGAGAGTTAAACATTGGAATTATCTGTTAGAACCCATATACTGTTTTAATATGCCCAATCAAACATATAAACATTAATAACGGTGTTTTGAGAAATAATTAAAGAAGTTTTTACCTCAATTATAATTCTAATAAAAATAATAGTCCCGTTTTGTTTAATAAAATATAATACTGATGTGGTTTTCTTACCTAGTGGTTGAAGAAGAAATTCACGATGTATTTTTTTGTTTGCATGGTCGGGCTGGTCGCTAGCCATCAATGCATCGATTGTGAAGTTACTGGACTTAAACGAAGAGCGCGATTTAGCGTTTATGGTCTCCTCCATTCTCGTGTTCCGCGGCGTAAATGAAAGGAATTCGTTGCAAAGAGAGGGAGAGATGAATCGTGTCGTTGAAAAGACACTAGGATGTCCTGTCACCAAGCTGCTCTGTCATCAAGTACAAGACGGCCGTCACTTTCTTGAAGATGTCCTCTATAATCAACAGCGACACGTCATTGCCCGCCAAGTTTAAAGGAGTACGTTATCAAGTTATTCAAACATACGTGTGATATCATGATTTCAACAAAACAATATCTAAAACCGAACGTGGTTGATGTTTCATTTAATTGAGAGTTTATTTAAAAATCGTAGATATTGAAATAGTGGAGGCGTGGCTACGGAATCAATTAACGTGAATTCGTCACAATGGCAGGACATAAACGGCGAGTGATGATAACATGTAAAAGCATACAAGTCTATGATTTGAGGATGTGCGGACTTGCTAATTGCCCTACGAGAGCTGATGCCGCGGGCCACACAGATCCAGCGGCGACCAATGGTGGCTGGTTTACTAATGATTTATAGCGTGCACCTACAACCACGTCAACACCTTACCGCTTTAGCGGCCGTCGCCGTCAAATGGCTAAGTTAGGACTGTTAGTCTAGACAACCTGAAACGGCAAAGGAGCCAACGAATGAAGAAGCGCTTTCAACCATCACTTACTAAGCTAGGTGAGAGATAGTACAGGCATAATAAAGGCTTTTAACTATCAGCTCATTATTTTCAAGGAAAGCTTTTTGGAGACACGAAGATAAATGCCCTTTTAGCTCGTCCGGAATTATTATACTTCAGAAAGATAAACCGGTATACCACATGATTAAGAAATAAGGGAGGATATATCGTATCTCAATGCGCTCGTTCTGGCCTCCTGACAGGCGCGATTTTCCCCGCGAGCAAACTTTCACCCAGAAAAACTCACACATACGATTGACAGCAAACACGATAAGCTGGCCTGTTACAGATCTATCATTTCGACATCTCGACAGGACGATACTATGCCTTGCAGTAAAGTCAATTATATTTATATCGTCATTAATTTTGATTCCAGCGGCCATTAGTCCTTATAAAACACGAATAGATCATAACAATGATATGAGTAAAACAAATATATGCCTAACGGTAGATAGATGAATAACATTAAAAGAATCAATTGGGCTAAAATAAATAGGCCTATAATAAGATATAATATTAAATAACTTTTTTGGTTATTTCTTTATTTAAATAAAAAACCGCATCCAACAACAATCAAATACCAATAAGGGGATGTCTTAAAATTTGTTTACATACGTATTAATGTATAATAGATATAAATAAAAACAGCAAAAAAGAAACGGTGTCACAAGTCCAGAAAAAAAAAAAAAAACAAAAAAAAAAAAACCTCAGTCTCAGCCCAAGCAGATCAGTCAAGTGAATGTATACAAATATAATAAACTGGTTTTAAATGAAGCTTTGGTAAAATAAATGGATAGGATCTGTATTATATCTGTAACACTGTATTATAATTAAAAGCTAAACGATGAATGCAAACATTTGTTGTTTGTTTATGCATTTTATGTAAATGCACATACAGTATTATTGTATCTACTCATAACCATGGTGGCAAATCTTCTTCATCGCCCAGTTCATCTCGCAGAATATTATATACTACGCCGAATAATATGTTAAGCAATGTTCGATGATGCATTTACGGTTTTTTCAAATGTATATAAATGCTTAGGCCTATATTTTCTTAATATAGGCTTATCGTTATTACTTTATTTTATTATTCAACTCATTTTCACAATTAAGAACGGTTTGTTTCATCAGTAATTTATTTGGTACCACTCATCCAATTATTGACAAGAGAATGCTTCATTTTTGAAAACAATCCCATTCGTTTTCAGCAACTATAGTGTTTTTTTCGACTACGCTTGTGCAAATGAGCGTGAAAGATCATTTGCTTTTAATCGAATTCCCAATGAATCCCCATTGCCCAGTTGGTAATGCGTATGTATAGACAGCAGACGTTCTCGAATCACTGTTGGAAAACTTTTTCACAGTACCTCGTAACGTTTAATTTATAAATTATCAAACATTACCGCAAGACGGCTGATAGTTTATCTCTATTGAGTTATCCGGTAGGCCTATAAAATCCAAGTCAAACAGGTTGTAATATACTGTA